GTGTGTGTGTGTGTGTGTGTGTGTGTGTGTGTCATTGATTTGTTTCACCTTACTAGGAAGTGTTGTGTCCGGGAAGGGGAGGGACTCCCGACAACTCAGGGGCGCTGCTGTGTTTTCCGAGCTGCGGAGTGCGGCTTTTTAATCCCGAAAACACCACTTTGTGCTGGTTTTAGCTACAAGAACAAAGAGTTGAGCTACAAATCAAAGCGCCTTTTTTTTTCTTTCCCTCCAATCGTTTCAAAGGCAAGCTAGCTCCTGGCCTGGCACGCACGTGCGCAATGAGAGCCTGTTTTTAAGCTAACACCCTCGAAGCTCGCGAGTGGAGTTTGAACTTTGTCATGTCCAGCCTCTGGCGGACAACCAGCCGAGCGGCGCGGCTCGTCGCCAGACGCGGTCTTTGGGGAGTTCAGCCGCGGCGCCTGATCATCGACACGTCCTACTCGGCGCACTTCATGGATTTCCAAGGCGCCTCCATCGCGAGCAGCATGAAGAAGCTGGTCGTCACCGAGCTCAGTCCCAGGTTCCGAGAGGCCGTTTCAGCGCGCACCGTTTCCGTTCCGACACCGGGAGACGCCGAGCTGCTCGTCAGAAATCGGTAAGTTGTTTGACACACACACAAAAAAAGCGAGTGTGTTCGGTGTGGATCAGAAGTTGCGTTAAAAAAAAAAGCTTTCCTCTTACCTCTGGGCTCACCCTGCGATCATCTTGAGATGGTAAAAAATCCGTGAGGATTAAACGCTGCGCTGTTAGTCCAAGTTCCGCCCTCCCTCCGTTTGTCCATCAATCCATCTGCCTCCCTCCCTCTGTCCTCTGGTCTCTACGTCACCAACCTGCGAACAGAAAGTCGTGGGGGGCTCAGACTGGCACCAGAGAAGGTGCTGCTGATGGAGGAGGACATGGCAGCAGATTAAACCACAATACTGAGTCGACACGAAATAAACATCATTTAGGAACAAATAGGTTTTTGAAAACACTGTGTGTGTTTTACATGAAGTTAAAACCACAACCTGCTACACACTGACCAACCTGGATTACAAATAAAATTAATTTTTATTCAGACTGAATGCCAATGAACCTTTGTTTAGTGAGCAACATATTTACAAACTTATGTTCCTTTTTGTACTTTTGAGCAGAAACTTTAATGTAATTAACAATAATAATCCATAGGTGAACAACAATTTAATATTTTTATAAATATGTAGTTAAAGAAAACAGATTTCATCAACTGTTTTAGTCAGAGTAGCAAATACTTTTAGTTATATGATCTGTGCATGTGTTTGTACGTATGTAAAGGTAACATACAGCTGGTAATATCTTCAATATTTTCTTTTATTATTTTTATTAAAGAGAGGCTCAAAAATATTTTGTCTTCAGTTTGCAATACCTCCAAACTGTTTGGAAGTGTGATGTTTGTCATGTTTTATTGACATTCTGTATTTTGCTGCTAACATTTTCTCACTTATTCCTGAACTTTCTTTACAGCCTCTTAACATATTCCAAACTGTTTATTTCTTTTGTTTTTAAGTTGTTGTTTAAACAGAGAGTGACTTAAGGTCTTAGTATTTACAGTTCTGCACATCCGCTTTAACAATCCCACAGTGCGTCTCAGTGAGGATGGAAAAGAAGTCAAAGTGTTTTGTCAGATTATCTTTAGCCGTATATAAACTGCAGGAATACACGCTCAAAGTGCACGTGTGACGTGCACCGTAATGAGGCGCAGCACGCGCGCCGTTCTGAAAGACACTAAATGATTTATTTATACATTCCTTTACAACAGATTTGTTTCCAGCGTCCTCCAAAAGCAAAGATGAAAACGGCTGCTTTCGTGTTGAGGCAAGAAGCAACTGTTCTGTGATTTAGTTTTKTTTTTTTTCAAGTGTAGTTTGTTGTGGGTGTCTCTGAAGACAATGGATTATGACATCAAGCCGTGTGTTTTGTGATCCGAGTCTTTCCCCGTCAGAGCAGGACTGTTGTGTTCAGGAAACAAACGGAGCTGAGTGTGTGTGTCTGGCCTCTGAAGCACGAGGCTCATGTCTTGACCTTCGTGCAGGATTCTCAGGAACTCCACGAGCCGCCGTATCGCGATGCAGCTGTTTCACCGCCTCGCTTTTTTAACCTGCAACTCTTTGTGTGTCTCTTTTCAGCTTTGTGGGGATCAACGCTTCTGACATTAATTACTCGGCGGGCCGTTACGACCCCTCGATGAAGCCTCCCTTCGATGCTGGTTTTGAGGGGATCGGCGAGGTGGTCGGCCTCGGCCTCAGCGCCAGCTCCCGTTACACCGTCGGCGACGCCGTGGCCTACTTCAGCAGCGGCGCGTTCGCCGAGTACACGGTGGTTCCGGTCAAGGAGAGCGTGCCCGTTCCCTCGGTGAAGCCCGAGTTCCTCACCCTGCTGGTGAGCGGCGCCACGGCCTACATCGCCTTGAAGCGTCTGGGTGACCTGGCCAAAGACGAGACCGTCCTGGTGACGGCAGCGGCAGGAGGAACGGGTCAGTTCGCCGTGCAGTTTGCCAAACGTGCCGGCTGCCACGTGATCGGGACTTGTTCTTCCGACCAGAAAGCAGCCTTCCTGAAATCCATCGGGTGTGACAGGCCCATCAACTACACTAAAGAAGATGTCGCTAAGACGCTGAGGGAAGAGTACCCAAAAGGCCTAGACGTGGTGTACGAGTCAGTCGGAGGCAGCGTCTTAGAACTGGCAGTGAACAGTCTGGCTAATAAAGGCAGGCTGATAGTGATAGGCTTCATTTCAGGTTATCAGAGCGCATCAGGCGTCCCACCCTTCAGAGGAGGAACTCTGCCGGTTAAACTGCTGCAGAAGTCGGCCAGCGTTCGGGGCTTTTTCCTGCCCCACTTCCTCAGTGACTACAGGGAGGCTCTGAGCAGCATGATGCAGATGTTTGCCAGAGGAGAGCTGGTGTGTGAGGTGGACTGTGGGGAGATGTCGCAGGAGGGGAGGTTTGTGGGCCTGGAGTCGGTTTTCCGAGCTGTGGACTACATGTATGCAGGGAAAAACCTGGGCAAAGTGGTTGTAGAGGTGACGCCTCCAGCCGGGAGGAATAGTAAGCTGTGAGTTAAATAAACGAGCAAAGAAAGACATCATAGCTGAATGCTACACTGCTAATCTGTGCCCAGGAAGAGTCCTTTATTTTCACATGAAGTTTGATTAACAAGCTGATAATGTAATGAATAAACATAATTTAATTAAAAATTGTTTTTAAAAAGAATTTTTTTGCATTCATTGGAGCACAGCGGTCATTAAAACACAAACACATTTTAAAATATTTTCATCATTTCTTTAATTTATCGTGGTCCAGTCCCGTGCGTTAAATTATTTTTAGAACTGCTGCCATAATGTGCTTGCTTTTAGCCCTCTCCAGTACTTTATTCACCATAAATATTTTATGATGAACTTCATTGTTTTCCTAATAGGGGCTTAACGTCGGCGCGAGCCTGTCAGAAGTCAGCGCTGCTCCAGGTGTGCTTGGCATTTCACCGCCTGTTTGTAGCTGACAGAAACAGTAATCACACAATCAATCTTTTCATTCACATGCCCCCGAGCTGCGCACAATAAAATATATAGATTAAAAAAAAAAAAAACAAGTCCAGCTAACCAGGGCTCGGAGTAGAAAGTGTTGTTTTAGCCCCTCTAAGTAAAAACTAAATCACGTTTAATGAATAGTTTTTTTTTTTATATTTTTATTCGTTATTATTTGCTTATAATAAAAAAATTTCCTTTACATAAAAATATATATTTTTACAAAACTCAAAAGCCTTTCTGGGCTCAGAATTTGAAATTATTTATTTTTCTTTAAAGCAGAGCAGAACATACAGAGCGTCCTCTTTTTATTTAAATGTCACAGAAGCGTGTGTGTGTGTGTGTGTGTGTGTGTGTGTGTGTGTGTGTGTGTGTTTTGCATTTATATATGAGATTTCATCTAAAACAAACACCTGTTCCTTTCTGGCAGTGAGGGCGGCGGTCTTCATGCTCTGTGATCCCGTTATTTCCTCGTCCAGGTGGCTACTCAAATATAACACAGTGAAATATGGTTCAGGTGTGACGGCAGCGTGCAGCAAAACTAACGCCGAAGATGCTGCTAATTCTTCAAAAATAGGTGCTTTAATATTGTCTTCATTAGTTCAGTAAGGATGAGCCAACTTTACTAGTTGTTTCCTGTTCATTTTTATTTCTGTTAGTGCGAGAAAAAAAAAAAGTTATCCTGTTTTCAAACCTTTCAGTTCACGTTCTTGTATTGCAGTGTTAGAAATAAATACGAGTTCCACAAATGGCCTATTCCTGTTTGAAACATGGTCAGATTTTATCACGAAAAAGACTTAAATGGACAAAAATTTTTTATTAAATTCAAGACTTGAGACTAATGTTGCGTTCACACTCCAATTCTAATAATAATAATAATAATAATAAATAGTTTTCCAGAGTTTTTGCTCCTCCCAGACCCACACACAGTTTTGGTAAGAAAACCATGACATAAAAAAGCTTAATTCAGAGCTGTTTAAAATATTACTTTACCATGTAGACATGAGAGACAGAGTTTTCTGTCTGCATGTCCACCGTCACTTTGTACCAAATAAACCAAAACACTGGAGCTGTTTTTTCTTTTTTTGTTTTCCGCTTTTTAGTTTGACCGACTTTATTCCAATCATGACCATTTTAATGTAGCTGTTTGTTGGAACGGTGACTATCTTGGACTAAAYTGACAACTGCAATAATAGCTACAATCGTTTGAACCAGACTAATATCTACTTGTATTTTGACACATTAACAACATTGTTCTCACCACCAAGTGGTGCTGCTTGTGTACACTATTTCAGCAGTTTGTTTAGAATTGTGTGAATGGAGAAAAATATCAACAAAAAGAGTATTGAGGGCCTAATAATGCCCAGCCTTAGACATTACATTGAGTTTAACTGTAGCAGGTTTCTGTTTGTTCTTATGTCAGAAGGAAAATCATCTCCAGCTTCTAACACCAGCCGTGCAGAACCCGATGGAGACCAGGACTCCCACAGATGATTCTCTGAATCCAGTACGTCCACGCCGGACTGCAAGCAGGCGGCCGGGGTGTGGCATCCCTGCAATTAACAAGAGAGGCCTCGCCTCTGCGTCCCTCCTGGGGGTCTACCTGTACCGCCGCTGATTAGTGAGCAGTCACAGCCCCAATTAGAGAACACAGGAACCTGAGGAGACAACACTCTGTATTTAATTGGATTGTGTTGCTAAATCGTGGGCCGCTAACTGGCACTGCGCTGAATGAGCGCAGAGCGTAAACAAGACGTTAAAGACAGAGATGGTCTGCTGCTGGTGGAACTGGTGTGTGCTGCTTAAATTCACCTCTAATCAAGAAGCTCTGCCGTCTGTAGTGGCTGTGCTGGTATTTCTCAGAACGATYCATGAACTCAGTTTCAACACAAATACATGTCTGGATATTTATTGATATTTGAGAAAAAAAACCATGTGACAGTGTTAATAATGTCAAAGTAATTGTATTTAATGAAATATTCCAAAAGAAAATAAAATGATGGATTTTTTTCAAGTTTGTATACTTTTAATGGAGGAAGGTTTAATAAGAATTACCGTGCAACAACACAGACTCTTACATCAGATATGGGCTTAAATCACCACTAACTCACAGCTACGTGTTGCCTGTGAGAACTAATAGGAAACCAGAGATTTGTTTTGTTGTGTAACTGCTGATTTAGCAGCATTTCCTTTAACTTTGGACTATTAGCATAATTTTGTAGTCATCACAGAGGCTGCAGTGGCTGATGCTGAAGCTTATTTCACTTCAAGAATGAATATGTTTACATAGCTGATTGGAAAAACTGCTCCTCTTTTTCTGCACTTATTAAAGAAGAAGAGCACGGACTGTTAAAGGGGAATAAAATGCTTAAAGATTTCCCAGTTTTCTTTCCCCCTCTCGCTCTTATATATGTCACGTAACAAAGACATCACCCTTGTAGTGTGGCATGGTAGTCTACCTTCAGGCACCGTAGGGACACTGGCTTTGCTGCTCGGTGCTGCCAGCATCCAGACAGTCCAGTTTCTTTCTCCGCAAGTCAGTCAGGCCCCCTCAACTCCCCAACTCCCAGAGCCCCCATCACTTCTACCTCCGCCTAATTACCAAACCTAAAACCCCACTCAACTAATTAGCCACAGCAGACCCAGGAGCTGTGAGTAAAGGTAAAGAGATGGCTTCATTCAGAAAGGTGTGTGTGTGTGTGTGTGTGTGTGTGTGTGTGTGTGTGTGTGTGTGTGTGTGTGTG